ACAGCCTCCGTGATGTAAAATCTTATCTTTATTAATGGACTTTAAAAGTAAATTTTATTAAAAAACACAATTTTCTCATAGGTCCATTGGCATTTTTTTCCTGTTATTCCATTTATTTTGGGTACATATCTTTACATGTTATTGAGACCTACTAGCGCACTAACAAATACATCCTCTATGTCTCTTTACACTCCAGACATTCTCATCTTCACACTCCCTTTCCTTCAAGAATTTCAGAGCTCACACTTCCCTTTTTGTCTTCTCACTGCAAATGTTAGGCATGTATTGCCTAGTTAAGTTTCGTTAAGATTTGACTTTGGCCCAAAGTCAAGGTCACCTGAGCTGCACTAACTGGTTTCTCATTTTTTTCTACCATGCACTTTCATTGCTGGCCCTTAATTGTACTCCCTTCACAGCTCTGCTGAGTCCTTCCCATTTGGCTTATTAACTAAGAGCTCCGATTTCCCTGTCCTGTCTCTGGTTCAGTTTCCTGGTTATGTCTCTCTCCTCCCAAGTGAGCAGTGCTTCAGGTGGTCTCTCGGGTAATATTTCCTAGTTGATCTTATTCTGGCACCTCAGATTCCCTCTTCCTTGAAATTAAATTTCTTTTCAAACAACGTGGTTTTAGGCAACACCAGGGTAGGAATAGAACCCATTCAAACACCTCCCTCTAAGGGAGGTTCCTAAGTGCTCTTCACGGTCTGGAAAAAAGGACAGGGGTAACTAACATGAGTCAGACTACTCCACTCAGGTTCCCTTCCTTAATAAGACCCACGGGGGTTCTTTTCACTCAGGACTTTAGAAAAGAAATTAATTGGGAGGAATTAGCATACACAATGATTTTACTATATACTGTTACTAAAAAAGCAATATATGTCCATAACACATACAGAGTAAATTATAAAAATAAAATAAGTCGTTAATAAAATGTGGTTCTACTGTGAACATCAAATCGCTCCTCACTAGAGTGTCATTGAAACACTTGATCTGGCACATCTAGGGTCATGTCTGTTCTGATCTGGCTGTCCATTTTTGCTCCCGCCATTTTCTATGTCTAATTCTGGTCTATTTCAATCTACTCATTTCCTTTTAATATAAGTAAAATATTATTTACCTGAAGATTAGCAACTTTTCTGCATATAATTATGTAAAATTCACTGTGTAAAGTATTGATATTTACAGCCTTAAGTACATAAAATTCATAAATTATATTTCTAATATGTTAACTTTTAAAGTCACTATTTGTTCTACAAGACAGGAGAATTGATGTTCTTTTAGTGAAATATATTAATATACTCTATAAAGTACCTGGAAATTCTATGCTGCGATAAACTTTATTTTCTTCTGCGGGTTTAGATGAAATAAATATTTTCTATGATTAGGACTTCTGGGAAGATTTTCCTCCATTAGTCTGAAGTCCATTCTTCCATGTTTTGTTTGGTGAAGAAGATTGGCCCTGAGCTAACACCTGTTGCCAATCTTCCTCTTTTTGCTTCAGGAAGATTGTCTCTGAGCTATCATGTGTGCCAATCTTCCTCCACTTTGTATACGGGATGCCACCACAGCATGGCATTATGAGTGGTACATAGGTCCACACCCAGGATCTGAACCAGCAAACCCTGGGCCACCAAAGCAGAGCACGCAAACTTAACCACTATGCCACGGGGCCAGCCACATGGTTCTTCCATATTTTGTTTTCTGTATCTGCAATGTTTCAAACATCTTCAATGACCATGACTGGGATTCAAAGCAGTGGGCTTGCGGCAAATGTTCTTTTGCGGGATTTTTTGTTGTTGTGCTTTTTTTTTATTAGGGTAAGAACACTTAACATGAGATCTACCCTTTTTAACAAAATTTTAAGTGTACAATACAGTATTGCTAACTATAATGTAGTGGAATGTGTTACATAATGCAAAATGCTGTACAGCAGATCTCTAGAGCTTATTCATCTTGCGTGACTGAAACTTTATACTTGTTGAATAGCAGCTCTCCATCTCCCCCACCCCTCAGCCCCTGGCAACTACTATTTTAAACTCTGTTTCTATGAGTTTGACTATTTTAGATACCTCATGTAAGTGGAATCAGATGGTATTTGTCCTTCTGTAAGTAGCTTATTTCACTCTGCATTATGTCATCCATGTTTTTGCATATTGCAGGATTCCTTTCTTTTTTAAGACTGAATAATCCGTTTATCCATTCATCTGTTAATGGACAGTTAAGTTGTTTCCACATTTTAGCTATTGTGAATAATGCAGCAATAAACATGAGAGAGCAAATATCTCTTCGAGATTCTGATTTCAATTCTTTTGGATAAATACCTAGAAGTGGTGTTACTGGATCATACGGTAGTTGTGAGGAACTTTCATACCGTTTTCCATAGTAGCTGCGCCATAACATCCATTCTATACAATACTGATATTCATAAAATACACATTTATTTGCAAAAAAAAAAATTTGAGTCTCAAATGTATTTGGGTAAAGGTATTATCATAGCTACTGTGAACACTTTATTTACCAGGACACACTATGGAGAAGAAAGTGATGTGCCTGGGTCAGGGACCATTTCCAAGATCAGAGGAAAGCTGTCACGTGTGAACAAGGCTAATATTGAGGCAGTTTGTCCAAAAATTAGGGCTGCAACTCAGGAATGAAGGTTTGTCCTTTAAGGAAGGATGAAAGAAAATATGCATTCCCAAGGACAGTATGAGAACCCCAGAATTATTCCATGGAAACACTACGTAGTAAAGCTTTTCTCAGTAACTTTATTTTTTTTATTTATTTTGTTTGTTTGTTTATTGTGGTAACATTGGTTTACAACATTGCATAAATTTCAGGTGTACATCATTATACTTCTATTTCTGCGTGGATTACATCATGTTCTCATGTTCACCACTCAAATACTAATTACAATCCATCACCACACACTTGTGCCTAGTTATCCCTTTCGCCCTCCTCCCTCCTCCCTTCCCCTCTGGTAACCACCAGTCCAATCTCTGTCTCTATGTGTTTGTTTGTTGCTGTTATTATCTACTACTTAATGAGTGAGATCATACGGTATTTGACCTTCTCCCTCTGACTTATTTCACTTTGCATAATACCCTCAATGTCCATCCATCTTGTCACAAATGGCTGGATTTCATCATTTCTTATGGCTGAATAGTATTCCATTGTGTATATACACCACATCTTCTTTATCCATTCGTCCCTTGGTGGGCACTGAGGTTGCTTACGAGTCTTGGCTATTGTGAATAACGCTGCAATGAACACAGGGGTGCATGTATCTTTACGCATTGGTGTTTTCATGTTCTTTGGATAAATACCCAGCAGTGGAATAGCTGGAAGTTCTATCCTTGATTTTTTGAGGAATCTCCATACTGTTTTCCATAGTGGCTGCACCAGTTTGCACTCCCACCAGCAGTGTATGAGAGTTCCCTTCTCTCCACATCCTCTCCAATACATGTTTCCTGTCTTGTTAATTATAGCCATTCTGATGGGCGTGAGGTGATAACTCATTGTAGTTTTGATCTGCATTTCCCTGATAGTTAATGATGTTGAATATCTTTTCATGTGCCTATTGGCCATCTGTATATCGCTCAGTAACTTTAAATTAGAGAAGCTATTTCAAAACAACTGTTAGTCTGAAGAAATGAGGTAAATTTAATCATCAATCTTCTGCCTAACAGGCTAGAAGTGTTAAAGATCTAGAAATTCAGATGCAATTAGGTATGGAGGAGGTGAAGAGTAAAATGAAACACAGGATTTTACTTTCTTCTCTCTCATATGTACAAGTGGTCTTAAAAACATTTTAAGTGAAAAGGAAAAATCTAAGGTAATCAATATTCTTCCTTATCATGGCTGCTTATTATATATAGCAGCACAAACTAAATGACAATTAAATGTCACTTGACTGATAAGACAATGTATTATTTTAAGAGGCCTTGGGCCATATAATTGTTCATCTGAGCAACCAAGATAAGTGAGCTAAAATATTTTTTACAACCAAATAATCTATACTTGGTGTTAACATTTTATTTTATTTTATTTTATTTTTTAATAATTTTATTTATTTATTTTTTCCCCCAAAGCCCCAGTAGATAGTTGTATGTCATAGTTGCACATCCTTCTAGTTGCGGTATGTGGGACGCGGCCTCAGCATGGCCGGACAAGCGGTGCGTCAAGTGCGTGCCCGGGATCCGAACCGGGGCCACCAGCAGTGGAGCGCGCGCACTTAACTGCTAAGCCACAGGGCCGGCCCCGTGTTAACATTTTAAATTTCCTGAAAGTATACAGCTCTCAATGTTAACTCAAATTTGGGAAATTTTAGTAATAATATTATCATTTAACAAAATGAAGATTCTTCTACAAATTTCAACTTTTGCCCATATTCTAATGTTCCCATATTCTAATTCCAAGAAAATGCTTGAGGTTTAGGTTTGCCAGATAAAATACAGGGCATCCAATTAAATTTGAATTTCGCTACTTACCAGAAGGACTAATCTCATGCAATTTGGGAAATATACTAAAAAATTATTCATTGTTTACTTGAAATTCAAATTTAACTGGGTGTCCTGTATTTTTATTTGCTAAATCTGGCAGCCCTATTGGGGTTACTAGTATGCATTGCAAATTAATGAATCCAAAATTTGCAAAACATAGCCTCAGAAAGACAGCACAGGATCATGAAAGGGAATTAGCCTAATTTGCATCTCTAGCAAACTGTAGCTCAGCCTAAATTAGCTGTATGTGGAAAAAGAAAACCTGCTGAGAAGACAAATGGACATACAGCAGTCAGGCCTGGGATTGCCGACCACATTGCTTGCCAAGACAAATTAGGATTTAATGAAGATCGCTTCAGTCTTCATTTGCTATTCCAGTCTCCATCACAAGACAGACTACAGTAAAAGAGATAAAGAAAATTACAGCAAAATCTAAGAAGCGGGTGTAGATATCAAACTACATCAATTCAACTAGAAACAATTTGGATATTTATCTATTTTAACATGCCGGAGAGCATGTTAAATGTGGAGAGCACTTTAATGATGATAGCAACTGGAGAGTTCTCAATGGGGGTCTTAGGAAATGCATTCATTGGACTGGTAAACTGCATGGACTGGATCAAGAATAGGAAGATTTCCTCCATTGATTTAATCCTCACAAGTCTGGCAATATCCAGAATTTGTCTATTGTGTATAATACTATTAGACTGTTTTATATTGGTGCTGTATCCGGATGTCTATACCACTGGTAAACAAATGAGAATCATTGACTTCTTCTGGACGCTAACCAACCATTTAAGTGTGTGGTTTGCCACCTGTCTCAGCATTTTCTATTTCCTCAAGATAGCTAATTTCTTCCATCCCCTTTTCCTCTGGATGAAGTGGAGAATTGACAGTGTGGTTCCTAGGATCCTGCTGGGGTGCTTGGCCTTCTCTGTGTTTATTAGCCTTCCTGTCACCGAGAATCTGGACGATGATTTCAGGCGTTGTGTCAAGGCAAAGTGGAAAACAAACTTAACTTTGAGACGCAGAGATAATAAAGCTCAATATGCTTTCATCAAGCTATTTCTCAACCTGTTAACACTATTCCCCCTTTCTGTGTCCCTGATCTCATTTCTCCTCTTGATTCTTTCCTTGTGGAGACACACCAGGAAGATGCAACTCAATGCCACAGGGTGCAGAGACCCCAGCGTGGAAGCCCACATGGGAGCCATGAAAGCTGTCATCTCCTTCCTCCTCCTTTTCATTGCCTACTATTTGGCCTTTCTCGTGGCCACCTCGAGCTACTTCATGCCAGAGACTGAATTAGCTGTGGTGATTGGTGAGGTGATAGCTTTAATCTATCCCTCAAGCCATTCATTTATCCTAATTCTGGGGAACAACAAATTAAGACAAGCATCGTTAAAGGTGCTATGGAAGGTAAAGTGTGTCCTAACAAGAAGAAATTTCTAACATAAACAGATCTAAAGACAAACTATCATTTTTTAGGACAAAGGAAGACAAAGTGTTTCTTAATTATCTTCAGTTCTTGTATTAATGTTGGTTTCATATGGTTAATTACTCTTGAAACTTATTTATACTTGTAATTTACTTGTATACTTGTAATTTAGGAAATCTCGTGTAGAGCTGATTTTGCCCTTTTCTCTCTCTCTGTCCCTCTCCTCTCTCTCCCTCCCATCAGAGTTTATTTTTTAAACATGTTTCAGAACATATAGAAGTTAATATCTGAATAGTAACTGTGAGGGGGAGAGTATTTTCATAGTGAGTTCTAAATCATTTCTCCAGAGGCAAAATCGTATGGCTCATTCAGAACAACTGTAATAACATCTTGCTGTTATTTGCATCTCTATGAATAGCAGCTGGCTCATTCGCATGGTCCTAGCTAGAGTTTTTTTATCTTAGAGCATCCAACTAACCTCCATCTTTGGAAAGACTCAATAAGGTGACAGTTCTTAATCAAATGCTACAGAATTTTATGAATGTAGCAGAAATTAATACTGAATATAATCACAATCAAGGCATAAATTGTGATTAAAATAAATATTGTGACAGTGAGTTCAAAAATTATTTTAGGATCATAGATCAATGAAAGAAAGACACTCTGTAAGCGTGAGAGAAGGAGAGTTTATGTAGAAAGTTTCTATAAAATGAGGTTGGCTAAAGAAAGTGCCTAAGTAGAATTATTGCTTATTGAAGGATATTTATCCACGAAAGACATGTGTAAGTTTACTTTTAGCAAACTAAGACTACACCAGACATTGAGTGTCAAGATACCCTGATAAGACGAGAGCTTTAATCAAAAACTCTTATATTGAGATGTTAAAAAGTCAGAACTGTCAAAGGAGACATTGATTCAGTACAGATCATCTCTACGTGCCAGGTGACTATTATTTGGATGATACATAAGTTATCTATGAGCTATCTATTTGGGAAATTCCATCAAAAGCATCATTTATGTTTTGGAAAAATATTTTGGAATGATCAACTCTGTTACTTACCAGCCTAGAGTAGCCATGGACTTGACGTACAGAAAAGAACATGTTCGTAAGTAAAGAGATATTAAATATTCTGATCAATAAATTTGGTAAAAATTAAAATTACTTTACACTAGTTTCATGTTAATTTTTCTTCTCTGAATCTGGCAGTGTAAAAGATATACATTGATTAAATTGATATATTTTAAAAGAGTTATTGCGTGTCTTGTAAGTTAAAGAAAGAATAGAAAATACCTGTCCCCATCCCCCACCTAAGCAGATGCCAGCTTATGTGAATTTATTAGGCATCGGAACAAAAAAATCTTGAGAAGTGATGGGAATTTTGGAAGCTCCATGTTTGATGTCTTCATACTGTAGACCCTAGAAACTTGATCATCCACTTGCTTTACAAACATAGCATCTCAGCACTCACTTTCTCTGTGGACAGTAACCAGGCAAAGGATACTGAGGTGGAAACAGAAACCATATTGGAGCCCTCTGACTGTACATAATTCTCCTAATTGTCATGTCTTGGATGAAAGTGATATAGCCAAGGCAAGTGGTTTATCTTCTGAAATTATGTTAATTCTGAGAAATCATGCAAAAATAATAATAACTCAGGGTTGAAAGAAGTATTTGTACTGTTTCTTTCACTCCCAGTGTTTGGAGTAGAGTTTTCAGGCTTTCCTTAGGAAAGGGTAGTGACGGGGTTACAGAGAATGCAAGCAGATTCCTTTCTGGTTTTGTTCCTTGTTTAAAAAATAGGTATCCACTTACATATTGAATGTCTGAGTGTCAGGCACCATCCTGGGGGCTGGAAATACCGAAAAATGTGACAAAGTCCATGCTCTTATGCAATACATAGTCATGGAAAATATTTTGAAAGACATAAATGATCAAGTAAACAAACAGTTACAAGTCATAATTAATGCAACTGAGAATAATTGGAGATGAGGAAGAGCTTTATATAATGTAGTAAGAATAGACCAAACTGAGATTTCAGATTGAGACTTGAATGACAAATACAACCCAGTCATGCAATTTTCTGGACAAATAACATCCCAAAAAGATGGCACAGCAAGTGCAGGTAACCTGAGGGACAAGTGTTTGAGGAAGAGCAATAAAGTCGGAATGACCAGAGCATGGTGAGCAAGGGGTGACTGGCAAGATTGTGAAAGGCCTTTTAGGTCATGCAAGGGAATTTAGATTTAAGTGCAATGGGAAGACACTAAAGGAATTGAAACCATGTGTAGCATAATTTGATTTATATGTAGATTTAAGTTCACTTTGGTTATATGAAGAATGGATATTGTATGTGTTGGGGAGGAGTTGTACAATTAAGAGGACCAGCTAGTCAATTATTACAGTAAGTAGTCCATATGAGAAATCAGAGTGGCTCAGATTTGGATGGTGGCACTAGAGTCAAGGAATTTCTTACTGAATGAATTCTATGTATTGTGTAGGTAAAGCTGATAGGTCTTGTTGCTTGATTAGAAAAAAGGAGAGAATTGAAGGAAAAGAATATTCAAACAACTTTTAGATTGTTTTTACTTTAGATTGTTTTACTTTACTTGGGAATACACTACTACCTAAGATTGAGGAGGAACTGTTAATGAGGGATGAGAGAATAGAAATCAAAAATTCTATGTTTTTACATATTATGTTTGAGAGACCTATAAAATAACCAAGTGAAAATGTTAAATGGATCACTGAATATATGAATCTATAACTAAGGGTAGAGATGAGAGAGATGAATTTGCAAGTCGTCAATATATAAACAGGATTACATAAAAAAAGATTATTGATAAAGAAGTGACACCAGATCTGAGGCCTGAGATGTTCAAATCTTTAGAGGTTAAATTGAGGAAAAAGGACCTGAAAAAGAAAACAAGAAGGAACTCCTAGGAAGATAAGAAAAAACCAAGAAAAGCATGGTGGAATGGGAATAAGAGATGTCATTTTGTTACAAGGAGGGAGAGATCAGCTTTCAAAAGCTGCTGAGAAAAACAGTAAAATTGATACAGCAAGACAACCATTGGATTTGGCAGCATGGATACAATTAGCGACCCCAACAAGAGCAATGTTAGTGAAGCGTAGGGGCAGAAGCAAGTTTCAGTGGGGAAAGTTAAAGAGGAAGTGAAATGTGAGAAAGCAAAGACATGGCAAATATATAATATTTTTAGTAAGTTTTGTTATTAAGGAGAGTAGAGGATGAAGCATGGACACTAGGCAAAATTTTAGTGTTTTCGTTGGTTTTGGTTTTAAGTTGGATGATATAGGGAGTGTATGCAAATCGAAATGAATTAATAGAGAGGGAGATAAAAATATAAAAGAAGGGTCGTAATTGCTGGAGCAATTATGTTAAAATCATGGCCCTGACATAAAAGAATGCAACCCTCAGACCTGAGAGAGGGACATTTAAATAGATAAGACTGAAAATATGGAACCCCCAGATTCCCTGGAACCTTCAGGGCCACCAGAAGCAGACCTCTACCTCTTGCAAGAGCAGAGGAGCCTCTCTACTCCTGGAAACTGTTCAGTTAACTCAATCTGAGGCAAGTTAACATATATTCTCCTCAATATTTGCTCTACCACTCCTCATGACTTCAGGCCAAGGTTTCAGCCTTGCCTAATCAGGAAAGTACAGTTTCTGTTCCAAGAGAAAATAGCTTCAAGCTAATACTACAACATATTGTTAACATATCAGCAGGAATAAGAAAACATGCTGAAAATGGATCTTGAGGGTGATAGATCAAGGGATCTTCTTTATTTAGTCTGGATATGGAGAATTTATTGACATGGAGGCCCTCAATAATGACTTGGGACTCAATATTCTGACAAGGGAAAATACTTCCAGTCCTAATATTCTGTTGGGCCAGCTCCATGAAGCTTGGACACGATGATAGCCTCATATATAATGTGGAGTTCCTGCGACTTTCTTGACATAGTATTAGGACAGATCAGAAAGTTCAGGGAGATAGTAATGTCAGAAAAGATTGACCATGTAAAACCCAAGGACCCACCACCTAACTATGTTCCAGGAGATCTCAGAGGATATTTCCCTCACTGAGGCAATAACGAATGCTCTGGTGAGGGGAGCACAGGCATCACTGAGAACTCAGTGATGGGACGTTCTCTGTAAGCCAGAATTGGCTGGTGGGAAAGGTTGCCAGGAAACTGGACTCCCTACTGTCAATGAGTACGTTGGAATTGCCAATTGCAGCACTTAGCCATCATACCATATTGGGCAGCAAGGCCAACCAGAGTGCTAATCAGTGTACACTGATCCACAGGAATCTGTGGTGAGAACTAATAACAATAGTATTCCTAGGATTCAGATAGATAGATAGTCAAATAAGGTGTTTATTGAATTACGTGAGAAAAAATGAAATGCCATGAAGTCACTCCACTAGAAACTCACTGTTTCTCCTCAAGCCTCCAGCTCTAAGTCACTTCACAAAAAGTCTTTGGATTGAAGAGGAAGCTGGGTCACATTGAGAAAAGACCCTACAAAGTCACTACAAAAGGTTTCAAGGTACGTGTTTTCCCAGTCCTCAATCCTCCCCAAAGGGAACAGCACTCATTTGACAGACTAATAGTGAACTAGGGAAAAGGAGTAATTAGATGTTTTGAGAGCTGTTAAATGCAGAGTTTGACTTGACACTAATATCAGGGCAACGAAAATGCCATCATGATCTTCCAGTGAGAGTGGAGACTTGGGGGGACAAATTCTTCAGTGGCTCCAGTGGGTCCGCATAACTACCATGTGGTTATCTCCCTAGTTCTCTAGAATAAAATTGGGATAGACATACTTAGCATCTGCCAGAATACAATATTGAAGGCTCTTAAGTTTCAGGTGGATAGAGTGACTCACCCAGTGGATGTCAGCAATCTTTTGTCTTCAGCTATTCAAGTTTTGAGTAGATGTTGAAAGACAGATACTAATTGAGTGCCAAAGAGGTGGAAATACACATAGAT